TCATTCCTTCTCCCAAAGACAGAACACTTTAGCTGACCTCTGGAGTCCAGTGTGGGAGCCAGGCTCTTGTCTGGTAGGGGCTGTATCCCCAGCTCCTGGCACATGGTGCAACTGTAAGAGCGTTGGATCTAGAGTCCCATCTTTGCTGCTTATTGACAGGGTGACCTTGGGCAAGTTCTATTGATTCTCAGTTTCATCAACTGTGAAAATGAAGATAATACTTAGACTTTCTACTGCACGGGGTTGCTACGCTTAAATGTGAGCATAGGAAGACACTCAGTGTCTGTAATACACTATAGGAATTATACTGAACATTGTTATGCGAAGGGTCTAGGGAACAGCCAGTAGGCCAGTTTTTTGGGGGGTGGTGGGAGGTGGGAAGGGAAGCAATGTGAAATGATACTAGAAAGAAGGAATAAGATTAGGAATTAGATTAGGAATAAGATTATCAAGGGATGTCAGTGTCAAACAAGAGTTTGTTCTTTATCTTAGAGGCAGTAAGGAGCTATCTAAACTTCTTGAGCAGGGGATGCCTCGTGCCTAAAGAATATCAATTTGTCAGCTTTGTCAAGGAGTCAGTAGTGAGGGGAAGGACTAGAGATGGAGAGGCCAATTAGGAGTCTGTGAGGAGGCTGCTTCAGTGGGAAAGGAGATAGACCTAGGAAATGTTGTGGAGGCAGACTCCATAGTCCATGGCACCTGATTTGGAAATTGGGAATCAGGAAGAGCACAGAGTTGATGATCATTTGATGATGCCCTCAAAAGAAATAGAGAAGTTAGGAAGAATAGATATGCTTTGGATATACGGCAACTAGGTGGCACAGTGGATGGAGGTGGGGATGGGGTGAAGGGACCTGGATTCAAGAAGACCTGAGTTCAAATGCGGCCTAAGTCTCTAAGACCCTGAACAAGCTACTTAACCCTTGTTTGCCTCAGTTTCCTCATCTGTAAAATGGCACCTACCCCCCTCCTTATTCTAGCATTGTCATGAGGATCAAATAAGATAACAATCAAAAAGTGTTTAGCACAGTGCCTGACATATAGTAAGTGCTATATTTTCTTGTTGAATTGTTTGTTGTGTCTGACTCTTGGTGACCCCATTTGGGGTTTTCTTGGTAAAGATATTGGAGTGGTTTGTGATGTCCTTCTCCAGCTCATTTTACTTGACTTACCTAACGTCACACAGCTAGTAAGTGTCTGAGGCCAGATTTGAACTCGGGAAGATGAGTCTTCCTGACTCTAGGCCCTGCACTATGTCCACTGTGCCACTTAGTTATCTCAAGTGCTATATACATGTTAGTCATTATCATTATCATTATTACTATTATTATTATTAAACCAAGGAGTTAAGTTCCTTAGGCCTAAATTTGTCAATATAATTTGTGTGTAGGTCCATGAAGAGTGCTTGCTTTGGAGTTGGAAGATGTTGGTGAGTGCCGGTAACAGCTTCAGTTTCTGCCTCTATAGTGTCAAGAGGTTGAACTAATGAACTCTTACATTCCCTGCTAACTCTAACTCCTATGATCATCTTCTGACATCGCCTCCAATTAACATGAAAATGAAAAAACAGAAGGCCTTGTTCTTAGATTTGTACACACATTTGGCTCTCACCTCTAGTTATCCCTGCCTCCAAACCTTTTTCTACCCAGTTACCAGATTTATATTCCTAAAGTACAGGTTTTACCATGTCATTTCCTTCCTCAAATAGCTCCAGGGGCCCCCTGGGCATCAAAGATAAAATATAGACTTACCTGTTAGACATTTAAATCCCTTCAGAATGGGTTTTATCCCACTTTTCCCGGCTGATGACACATTACTCTCCCCTAACACTCTACCCTCCAGCCAGACTCACTGTTCCTTGTATACAATATTCTGTCTCTTGCCTCCATACCTTTTCATAGCCTATACCACAGGATTAAAAGGCTCTTCCTCCTAGACTTTTCCTCTTGGAACCTCCAGCTTCCTTCAAGGCTTAGTGCACATGCCTACTTCCTTTAAGTGGCCTTTCCTGATTTTCCAGTTCTTAGTCTTCCAGCTTCCTCCTCCACCAGCCCTACCTCAATCATGGGATCATAGGATTGTAGACGGAGAGCTGGAAGTGGTCTCAGAAATCACTAATCCCATTCCCTCATTTTACAGATGAAGGAATGAAGGCACAAGCAGATCCATAAAGCTATTTGCCCAAGGTCATTCACGTGGTTAGTAGCAGAGCAGAATTTGAACTAAGATCTTCTGGCTCCAAAGCCAAACCTATTGTATCATGCTAGTGGAATATAAGCTTTTTGACAACAGGGGGATGCCTTATTTTTTCATTGCCTGACACATAGTATGAATTTAAATGCTTGCTGTTCGATTGATTGATATCCAAGGAGAAGGGGTAAGCAACCTAGGGCCTAGGTACTAATTGTTATTGGCCCTCCGTCAGTCCTCTCTCTCAATATGCATTCACCTTTCTTTCTTTATTCTCTTTCTCCCTTCTTTCTTGTTGCATCTTTTTTTTTTGTCTTATTTCACCTTAATTCAATCAACCATCCATCCATCAACCAATATTTCATGCACAAAGGCTGCTGTGTTCAAGGCATTTCTGGGCAGTGTTGGAGACACAAAGAAAAAACAGGAAATGATCCACGTTCTCAAGGAGTCTACAGTCTGTCTCATTGGCATGGGCACAGGAAAGTGAGGCATGTGGAAATGAAAAGCTACATAGCCATAAATACCAAATGAGAGCAACGGCCTAAATTCAGAGCTGGGAGAGCTCTTCAGGCTGGCCTACTGGTGGTTTGGGTCTGATATTAGAATGAAATGAGACAATTATAGGTCATTCAACAACAAAAGGAGGTTTGGTTAGTTGGGGTATGTAAAGGATAACAAGGTTACAGCCCTTAGCTCTGGTAGAATTGGCCCAGTGGATAGAGTGGAAGACTTGGAGTCAGTCAGGCCTAAGTATGAATCCAGCCTCAGATATCTGTTTGCTGTGCTATCCTGGGCAATCATTTAACCTCTCTCAGTCTTGGTTTCCTCATCTATAAAATGGAAATAATAATAGTGCCTACCTCTGGATACAGCACCAGGCCTAGAATCAAGAGGAAACTGAATTCAAATCTTGCCTCAGACAATTATTAGCTGCTTGACCTTGGGCAAGTCATTTAACCTCTGCCTCAATTTCCTCATCTGTAAAATGGGGGTAATAGTAGCACCTACCTCCTGGTGTTGTTATGAGGATCAAATGACATAATATTTGTAAAGTTCTTCGCATAATGCCTGGTACATAGTAAGCACTATATAAATGTAAGCCATCATCATCATTATTATTATCATTATTACTTCCCAGGGTTGTTGTGAAGATCAAATGAGAGAATATTAGTAAAGCAATTTGCAAATCTTAAAGCACTGTGTAAATGCTGTTTTATTTTGTTTTTGTTTTTTTTGGTGAGGCAATTGGGGTTAAGTGACTTGCCCAGGGTCATAAAGCTAGTAAGTGTCAAGTGTCTGAGGCCAGATTTGAACTCAGGTCCTCCTGATTCCAAGGCCAGAACTTTATCCACTGCACCATCTAGCTGCCCCCTAACTGTGTGGCCTCCTTCCTTTCATTCCAGGGTGGGGTATGGTGACTGGGGGTATTGAGGTGGGGTGGGGGAGGTTGGTGTATCCTGCCAAGTTAGAAGGGCTCAGACTTTGTATTTATGGATCCAGGTGATCAGGAATTACTTCAACATGCCCTAAGGTCACCAGGAAGCTGTCAACCCTCTTGACCAATCAAGTCTTAGGGAGAGCTTCCTTGCCTTTTGAGTTTTTCTCCTTCGGGGTAAAGAACCCTGGTAGATACTAATCCTATCACAGAAGAACTTGTGTGTGGTTTGTGTTGTGGGGGCTGGATTTGGAATGACTGCTTCTTTCCCACCAAAGTCCTGCTAGCAGCACCTACAGGTTGCTAATGACATCTGTGACCACAGAGGTTATTGACCCTGGACTCTGGGACTGCGAGCCATCTGCACATACAAAAGTGGAAAATGCATCCTCAGGCAATTTTCTGTCTTCCCACAGTTCAAGGAAGCTTCTGGTCTACTTAGGAAAAGGGAAGTACCGTTAAAAATAGGTGGTTTAATTGGGGGTAGGGCAAAAATCCAAAAATAGGAGTTTGCAATAACAGTAAAAAAAAAAAAATAAAAAAAAAACTAATATGCAGCAAAGAGGCAAGCCAATACCGAAGGCAAATAGAAGAACCTTTTCATAGAATGAAGTGAAAGCCCTGCTTCTTTCTTCTTTCCATTAAGATCATTGCCAGCTCTTCTTTTTAAGGTCCATTCAATTATCCTGAGTTTTCCCTATCTCCTTACTTGAGGTGTACCTCATTAACAAGGAACACTTTTCATTACTTTAAAATCATTTGGATATTCCCTTGGTGATTTAATTATTGGCAACTTTTTTAATGTATTTGGAGAGACGTCAATTTGCAGCTGTTTCTGCCCATGAAAAAAGAAATGAAGAATTAAGAGAATTAACTTCAATAATTCAAGCTTCCCTGACCTCAAAGCCCAGCCCAGTCTTCCTTATGTAAAAATTTTAGATGAATTATCATTACATCTCATTATGAAAGAAGTAAAGACGAGATACTATTATTGCAATTTTGAAGATCAGGAAATCAGGGGTAGGTTGAGAAATGTAGTTAATCCCATGTATACAAAAGCTTGGAGGTAGAGCCAGGGACAATTAGCATTCTACACCTTCTTCAGAATATGTTGCCTTGAACTCTTCAGTTATAATTTTTTATGCTTAAAAGCAGCTGTATGGTTTTCATGTAGTTGCAGAAGTATCAATGCTTTTCGCTTATTTTTGACAGGAAATATATTGAACAAGTCTACTAAAAGCTTGATTGTTTGTGTGACTTTCTTTGGATGTGGATTTGTGGCTTTATAATGTGAATCAAGAAGTATAAAATAATCCTGACATTTTCCTCGGTAAGGGAAAGCATTATACTCATTAATGTTTTTCCTTTGCAGGGATCCGCATCTCCTGGACCCGGTGATGGAATATGTGAAGGTATGTCGTGGTGGTCATAACCCAAATCATGTGTGTGGCATGATTCACAGGGTTTCCATTTCTAAGTGAGTGTTACTAACTAATGCTCCAGTCAGATGATGAAGAGGAAGCTGGTTCTGCCATTTGAATCTATTACAGCAATTTAAATCTATTAGAGTAATGGGTCATGCTCTCTCCCAATCCCGTATGTCACCTTGGGACTTTTCTTTTCCAGAGGGAAGGCTCAAGAGACTTGCCTGGGCTTTCTACTGTTCTATTGCATGGATGTCCTTTCAGAGCTGCTGAGTCTCTTATTTTGAGGTGGGGATGAGTGATGAGTTTCTCCCTACTGGGGTTAACATTTGTTGTATGATTATTGTCCCTATCATCAGAAAGATTCTTTGCATTCTTTTTCTTTTTTTGAGGTCTGCCATTACTAAGGCACGTCACCTCCTAGGATGTAGGTAACTCTAAATTACCTAATCAAGCTTTTTATAATTATACATATTCCACTTATTTCTACCTAAACACAGGCAGTTACTGAATAAAGTAAGCAGATTTAAAGATATTTATTTCCCTTAGAATGAATGTCATTCCATTTTTTAATTACTTAAGGACAAGTTATTTCATCTGTGGATTATTTAGACCAGGGGTCCTAATGTGGGGTCCATGGATTTTAGGGAGGGGGCCTCTGAACTGGTGGGAAAAAATTGTATATTTTTTTCACTGAGGTCTAACTTACATTTAGCATTTCCTTCAATTTTGAAGGAAGGCAGTGAACCACAAAAATATTAACAGTACTTGTGATTTTGTAACCAATAGAAATCACATCTATTTTTTTTTCATATTATTGTTATTGCCAGTAATATTGTTTGTAGTCATTACTACTTCAGAATTACTGTATTACTAAGACCTTCTTGTAGATTTTAAGTGATCACAGTCTGATCAACTCCTGAATGTATTTCATTGTGGTTGGCTTCCTTTGTAATCATATGTATTTTATTTGGGGATCCAAACCCATTGTATTTTCTTTTCATTTTTTCCCCACCCACCCAGTTCCCCCCTTCCTTCTCCTGTGGCTCTTCTGTCAGTGAACAACTGGGAAAGGACTAGGAAGTGTCTCCTTCCCTTAATGTGCATGATGGAAGGGTGCTTGTATTGGTTTTATGGGTTTTGTTATGGATTTGATTTGTGCTGGTCCTGACACATATTTGTGTGCCACTCCCCTTAGGTTGCATGGAGGCATGATTAAGTGAGAAGAGCACTTGAGTCAGAGGATCTGGGTTCGAATGCTACCTTTGATGCTTGCTGCTTGTGCCACCTTAGTCAAATCACATAATGTCCCCGGTCCTCAGTTTCCTCATCTTTAAAATAAGAGGAATCACACTAGATGTATTCTGGTCACTTCTAGCTCTAAATCTGCAATTTTGTGATTATTTGGAATATCTTATATCTAGCTAGCATTTGTATGGGCAGCTAGGTAATGCAATGGATAGAGTGCCTGGCCTGGAATCAGGAAATTTTGTTGTTGTTTAGTTGTTTTTTAGTTGTGTCTAAATCTTCATGGCTCCTTTTAGGGTTTTCTCGGCAGAGATACTGGAGTGGTTTGCCATTTCTTTCTCCAGCTCATTTTTACAGATGAGGAAACTGAGGTAAACAAGGGTTCAGTAACTTGCCCAAGGTCATTCAGCTAGTGTCTGAGGCTGGATTTGAACTCAGGAAGAAGAGAAGACCTGAATTAAGTCATTTAGCCCTGTTTGCCTTTATTTCTTCATCTGTGAAATGAGCTGGAGGAGGAAATGGCAAACCACTCCAGTATCTCTGCCAAGAAAACCCCAAATGGGGTCACGAAGAGTCGGACATGACGGAAATGAGTCAACAACAAGCATTTAAATAGCACTTTTAGGGGCAGCAAGGTGGCGCAGTGGATAGAGCTCCAGACCTGGAGTCAGGAGGACCAGGGCTCAAAGCCAACCTCAAACACTTACTAGCTGTGTGACCCTGGACGAGTCATTTAACCCCATTGCCTCCCCCTCCCCCCAAATAAATAAATAAATAGCACTTTAAGGTTTGCAGAATGCTTTTATATATGTGAATTCATTTGGTTCTCACAGCAACCCTGTAAGCTAGGTGCTATATTCTTATGTTGCAGCTGAGGAAACTGAGGCAGATAAAAGCTAAGTAACTTGGGCAGGGTCACACAGCTAGTAAGTGTCTGAGGTTGGCTTTGAGCCCTGGTCTTCCTGATACCAGGCCCAGTATTCTATCTGTTGCAGCACCTCACTGTCTCTAGAATATCCTCTTGGATTGAGACGCTGTGGTATTCTACCGTTGAAATGGAACCTAGGATTGTAGAATTGGGGCTTGAACAGCTTTGGAGGCCATCTAATACAACTCCTTCATGAGGAACTAGAGACTGGGAGATTGTGATTTGCCTAAGGTCATGCAGGTAAGCCCCAGAGGCTAGATTTGAACCCATGACCTCAGATTCCAGTGCTCTTTCCACTCTACCACATTGCCCCCCCATAAACATTGAGATGCTTATTACAATTGTATACGGTTTTTTTTTTAATTCTCATTTCTTGCATTTTATCTAATGCAGTTATTACAGGGCAAAGGCCATGGCTTGTGGACTGATGGAGGGTGGTCTTGGTGGTGGTGTCTGAAGAGTTTTGTTAAAGCCTTTGCTTTAGAGCCCTGAGTAGGCCCCTTGTCACTGACATCACTCTTTAGGCTGGCCATCATTCAGTCATTGATCCTGACTGGGGATTGGAGGGCCATGAATGCACTCTGCAGGAGGGGCCAGCTGGCTGCCCTCAGGGAGAAGGAGGATGCCATCCCTGAGAAGAGAGTGATACTATCCAGGGGAAATGAGGACGTGTCCTGGGAAGAAGGGCCAAGTTTGGTCCTTTGGACTTTGGAGCCTCTTAACAGTGCCCTGCAGGGTCTAAATGTCACCTGGGCTATGCCAGAGAGCACATATTCTTTCTTCAGTACACACCAGATAAGGGCTTCGTTGGCAGAGCCTAAGTCACCATTCTAGAGAGTGGATGCAGAATGGCTACATTTTAAGAGTTTTTATTAAATTTCTATATTTTTAACATGGTTTGTGCTTGGAGTCAGATAGGTGGTGTAGTGTGTAGAGTGGTGGGCCTGGAGTCAGGAGTACCTGAGTTCCAATTTGTCCTTCCCTGAGAAAAATGGAGGCTATTCACCAAGAGATCCCTCTTCGTCTTTTCACGTCACTTAGACAGCGTCTGCTGCTATCTCCTCCTTCTCCTCTGTCTCAGATAATGAGGTGGCTCTTCCCTTTGCCAAGGCACACCCATCTGGGTGCCCCTATTCTAGCCCGTATTCTTGCTGCCTCTGTCATCCCCACCCTCTCAGTCATTTTCACTCTCTCCAGGTCTCCTGGCTACTTCCTTGATGCCTACTGTCTCTCTATCCCTTGATCCATCTATCCCCACTAAGCTCTCCATGCTATATCTCCCCTCCTTTCCCTAGCTAAAACTCTTTAAGAAAGTCAACTACAGTGGGTGCCTTCATCTCATCTCCTCTCCTCTCACTCTCTTCTGAACTTTCTGCAATCTGGCTTCCACCCTCATCATTTAATGGAAACAGTTCCTTCCAAAGTTGCGAATGATCTCTTATTTACCAAATCTGATGGCCTTATCTCAATCCTTGTGCGTCTTGACCTCTGTAGCCGTTGACACTGTTGATGACCCTATTTTCCTGGATACTGTCTTCTCTCTAGGTTTTTATGACATTACTCCCTCCTGATTCTCCTCCTACCATTCTGACCCCTTCTTTTTATAAAAATATTTTCTTTTTCCCGAATTACATGTAAAAACAACTTTTAACATTCTTTTTTTTTTAAGTTTGAGTTCCAAGTTCTATTCCTCACTTCCTCCCTCCCTTACCCCTCCCTGAGATGATAAGCAATCTGATATAGGTTAAACATGTGCAATCATGCAAAACACATTTCCATATTAGTCATTTCGTGCAAGAAAACGCAAAAAGAAAGAAGAAAGGAAAGAAAGAAAGAGAAAGGAAGAGAGAGAGATAGTATACTTTGGTCTGTGTTCAGACAACATCAGTTCTTTCTCTGGAGGTGGATAACATTTTTCATCATGAGTTCTTTGGGATTGTCTTGTATATTGGTACTGCTGAGAATAGCTAAGTCATTCACAGTTGTTCATTGTACAGCATTGCTGTTACTGTGTACAATGTTCTCCTGGTTCTGCTTACTGTACTCTGCATCAGTTCATGTAAGTCTTCCCAGGTTTTGCTGAAATTGTCCTGCTCATCATTTCTTGTTGTACAATAAAATTCCATTACAATCATATACCACATTCCCCAATTGATGGGCCTCCCCTCAATTTCTAATTCTTAGCCACCGCGAAAGGAGCTGCTATATTTTTGCATAAATAGGTTCTTCTCACCCTGCCCCCCACTTTTTTAATCTCTTTGGGATACAGACCTAGTAGTGGTATTGCTGGATCAAAGGGTATGCACAGTTTTATAGCCTTTTGGGCCTTGTTCCAAATTGCTCTCCAGATGGTCATCCTCAGCTCCTTCCCTGAATTTACTCCACATGTCCAGTCTATTGCCAGAGTCCTATTGGATCTAGTGATGCAATATCTTTTGTATACATCCTCCTCTCTCCTGGCATAGCTCCCACCTTTGTGTAGGCTCTTATCGTCTTATGCCTAGACTAATGCAGTAATTCCTTACTTAGTGTCCCTACTCCTGGCCATCCTCTGCTCAGCTTCCAAAATGATCTTCTTAAAGTGTAGGTCTGACCACTTCACCCCTCTATTCTATAAATTCTAGTGGACTCTTTATTACCTCCAGAATCAAATCTGAAACCCTCTGTCTGACCTTTGAAGATCTTCACAACCTGGTTCCTTCCTACCTTTTTAGTCTTATTAGACATTACTTCCCTTCAGACATTCTGATTTAGAGTCACTGGCCTTTTTGCTGTTTTTTTATTATTGTTCAGTTGTTTTTCAGTCATGTCCAACTCTTCATGACCTCAGTTGGGGTTTTCTTTGCAAAGATACTACAGCAGTTTGCCATTTCCTTCTCCAGTTCATTTTACAAATGAGGAAACTGAGGTAAACAGGGTTAAGTGACTTGTTCAGGGTCACACAGCTAGTAAGTGTCTGAAGTTGTATTTGAACTCAGGAAAAGGAGTCTTCACGACTCCATGATGGGTGCTCTGTCCACTCTGGCCATCTCCTATTCCTGTGCCTTTACTTGTTATACCATACCTGGAATGTTTTCCCTTTCTGTCTTTGCCTCCTGGCCTTCTTGGCTTCCTTCAGGACTCAGCTTAAATCCTACTTTAGGCAAGAGGCCTTTCTCGGTCTTTCCCCAACCTTTCTGCCCCACTCTTCCCCTTTCACCATAGTGCTGTCTCTCAGGGTTTTGCATGGTGCCAGGCACATAGTAGGTGCTTACTAAATGTTTATTGACTGACTGACTGATTGATATTACTTCCCATTTTCCCGGTGTATGTCTTGTAAGTACATGGGTATTTTTGCTTGTTGCTTTCCCCATTAGAATGTAAGCTCCATGAGGGTAGGGGCTTTGCTTGCTTTTCTTTGTATCCCCAGCATAATCAGGGCTTAATAAATGTTTGTTGACTTGACTAGAAAACTGCTTAGAGCACTGAGAGATTAAGTGAGATGTTCCAGGTCACGCAGCCAGTATGTGTTGGAGGCAAGACCTGAACCTACGTCTTCCTGGCTTCAAGGCTGGCTCTCTATCCATTGTGCCACACTGCCTCAAATACCTCTGGGACCCTGCCATACTTCATCATTCAGACTGAAACAAATTCCCCAAAACTTGTGGTCATTGGAGTAGTGAGAGCATCATCAAATTTCTATAAAATATATATACCTATTATATATAGTTATTTCTGTAGAAGATAAGTTTTATTGGGCAACTCCTTATTGTTGGGTAATGCTGGCTAGGCAATACTAGACTTTAGATTGTCTACCTTTTCTGCAAGATAGCTTTGTTTGCAGGAGAAAAGTATCAAGGTGGTTAAATGTCACTCCCCTACTCCATAAACTCCCATGGCTCCCTATTGTCTCTGAGATCAAATATAAAATCCTTTGTTTGACTTTTAAAATCCTTCACAATCTGGTCTCTTCTTCCCCTTCCAATCTTCCAGTTTAAATGAAGTTTACTCTTTTTTTTTCCATATTCCTTGAGTATCTTTGTTCTTTATGTAAAGTTGATGGTCTGTGATTGAACCTTGCACCACGGGCCTGTTGAAAATGTTCTCTTTAATTAAGGGATTCTTAACTTTGTATCTCAGATCCCTCTGGCCATCTGATGAAGCCTATGATCTCCTCAGAATAACTTTTTTAAAAATGTACAATGATAGAAAATGCTAAATTTCAATTAGAGGTTATTGAAACTTAGGGTATAATTTTTTTTTCACATTCAAGTTCATAGAAACTATCTATGAAATCTATTGTGAAACCTGAAATCTCTCCATGGTTGCCAGGGTAAGAACTTCTGCTTTAATGAATTGTGAGGTTCTGCATGATTAAATCATAACGTCTTTATAAAAAAGAAATAAATAGATTTTAGGTGTTCTAGCACTTAGCCTAGTGCCTGGCACATAGTAATACTTCATAAATGCTTGCTGATTGATCATTTCTAAGGCCATTTCTTTTTCAAACTGGTGTGATTTTTCTACTATGATTTCAGTTCAAATGTCTTCCACACTCCTCATTCTTGCCTGCTGTTACAAGAGGAGAAAATCATGAAAATTAATTGGATTGTTTCATGTCGAAGCCAGGCAGTGGTCAAAATGGCCCCAGCTTGCACACTGGCGATTCTAATCCTCTTAAAATTAAGGACGTGAGCTGGTCAGTGTGTTTCAGGTTCTCTGCCATGAACTAACCACAGAACCTTTTATAAAAGCATGCTGTCCTCCGTGGAGATGAGGTCATAGATTATTCTTTCCGATCCCTTTTTAGTATAGTTTCCACAAGATACAAAAAGAAGGAGTGGTGTGAGACCAAGACCGTCTGACGCTTTCTCAGGAATCATTCTGGCCTACTGGAAAAGACAAAACCGGGCTTGCTAGCCCCCAGTCTGTCCAGCGGTGGATGGGACATGGGGGTCATGGAGGGGAGGGTGGAAAAGCAGAGTTTTGGAAAAGATACAGCTCGGTAGAGAATGAATACAAAATTGAATTCAATCCAATTTGTATTCTCTGTCCTCCTCCTTACCTGCTGTGCAGTTTGTATTGAAGCCTTATTAATATGGCGTGAAAAGACAGGCTCCCTCGTTGCTTAGCCACCTCTGACTCTTCAGAGTTTAGGATAAAGGAGAAGCACGTGACAAGTGGGAAGTCCCATAGCTGTTTGGAATTCTTGTCAGTGTGTTTTCTGCCAGGCATTCCTCTCAGGGTTGTTGCCTCCAGCTGGCATTTTTGGACTTCGTGGCAGAATTTTGATATTTAGATTTTATTGGTGGAGTTGGGGATTTTGTCATCTAAAATCCTTGGCCTTTTGTTCTTTAGGCTCTTGCTTTTGGGGGTGGGGGGACATTTTTGGTACTCCTCTCCCCTTTCGTTTGTCCACTCCACCCATCCCTGACTCCCCCCCATAAAAAACCCTAAAAATGGCTATCAGTTTTTAAAGTTTTGTTCTCCCAAAAATTGTTATTTGGGGCATGGGTTGCTTTTCTGTAATTGAATATAATGGCATTCCTTCCACTGCTCTGGAAATTTAAAAAAAAACAACATCTTATTGTCCTTCAGATTGGAAGAACAAAATGTCTGCTGCCTTTGTCACCACATCTCCCCATTCATTGTGTAACTAGTGACTATGGCTAGTGGCATGAAGCCTTGGTATTTTCCTCTGCTTACAGCACATACCTTAGTAGATGAAATCAAAAGATTTATTTTTCTTTTAATAAGAGGAAATGCCTTTTAAAGGAATAGCTTGTGGCAAAATGGTGAAGTAAGGGAATGTTTGTCTTTTGGGCCTTTGCTGATCACTCCCGACAGAACTTTCTTGGTTTCTCTTTCCCACTGTACACTATCCTTCTCCTTCCCTCTCCCCCCAAAAAACTCCTTTATCTCTTCTATATCCAATCTTGTTTGGACCTCACTCTATACAGGGTTAGCTGATGTGATAAATTGTTTGTGCTAACATGTTAACTTGATACCGGGAGGGATCCTGATTTCATTTTTTATGTGCCTGGGCTCCTTCTGCCAGATTTTAGGTCAAACCTTTCTACACTTTCTTATCCTGGGAGAGTCTTGTTCGCGTCTTTCCAAAGAACTTCAACGGTAGATTCACCAGGGCACTGGTGCTGATCCTGCCGTATCCTTTGGGCTGTCTGTCTGTCCATCGATTGCCACTTGTTCTTACTATGTGGCTGGCCACACCTGGCCTCGATAACATCTTTCATGCTGCCTTTTTTTGAGTGCACGTCATGGTTGGTAATGGGCTATGCCCTGCACATGCTCTCTTTGAGTCACTTGAGCTCTTGATTCTCTGGAGATCGTGGTATTCTGTCATTCACAGCCATGTGGTCTCACTGTGAGATGGGCTTCTGGGATCATTGACAGCATTGCATGATGGCCATCTCCAGCCTGATGTTTTCTACCAACATTTTATTAGGTAAGATATTATTATTGTTATTATTAATAAACATTTTTGTAGACCCTACTATGTGCCAGGCATGTGCTAAGTACTTTACAAATATTACCTCAATTGATCTTCATGACAAGGTGAGGTAGGAGGCAGGTGCTATTATTATCCTAATTTTATAGATGAGGAACTGAGACAGAGATAAGTGTCTGAAGCTGGATTTGAACTCAGGTCTTCCTGTCTCCAGGTCCAGTGCTCTCTCCACTGTGCTGCCTCACTGCCACCAAGAAAGGTAAGAATGGCTGAAAGCATCAGTTCTTAAGCTTTTTGGTCTCTGGAACCCTTTGCACTCTTAAAAATTATTGAGGAATCCAAAGAGATTTTTTTAATACCGATTATATCTATTGACATTCATCTTACTAGAAATTAGAACTGATAGTTTTTTAAAAATATTCATTTAAAAACAAGAATAATGAACTCATTATAGTTGACATAAATAAAACATTTTAACAAAATACAACTATGTTTTCAAAACAAAGAATAATGAAAAGTGGCATTGTTTTATATATTGTTGCAAATCTTTTTTAATGTCTGGCTTAATAGCAAACAGCTGGATTCTCATAACTGCTTCTGCATTCAGTCTGTCACCACTGGGGTCCTCAGACCACACTTTGAGAACCCTTCCTAGACAACATTTAAAGCTCCTTATCCAAACATAACTCTTTATCCCCGAAGAGATAGGGAATACCAAATGTTGGTTGTTCAATGCCCTACAACAGTCTGTTAAGGAAGATGTTTTGGGGGTAGGGGAAGGTGGTCCATTGAAACCCTTCCAATTATAACACACAGAACTGCTGACTCTTGTTAACTCTGAACCTAAGAACTGCCATACTGGCTCATAGCAATAGTTAGGACTGAATATTTTGTATCTAATGATAGAACCGAGCTTGCCAATGTGTTTTGACGGATCATTGGGTTTTTTGGAGTCAAAGGACCTGCTTTCAAATCCTAGGAGGGTTTAATTAGCTCTTGACAAGGTGTACTTGGGTAAGTTACTTAAATGCTCTGGGCCTCAGTTTCCTCGTCTGTAAAATGAGAGATTGGACTGTGACTTCTAAGGTTCCTTCTAAATCGATGAACTTAGGACATTTTGGAAGAGTTGTTATGGTTGCTATCCATCCTATTGCCAGTACAGAGAGAAAATGGCGGGGCAGTGAGGGAGAAGTGTTCTAGACTTAAAATCAAGGAAGACCTGACCTTAACATCTGTCCTCCAACACTTACTAGCTATATGACTATGGGCAAGTTACTTAACCTCTCTGTTTCCTCATCTGTGAAGTGAAAATAATAATGCCTGTAGTAGCTCCCTCGAAGATTGTTATGAGGCTCAAATGACATAATATAGGCAAAGACAGTCAGTTAACAAACATTTATTAAGCACTTAGTATGGGTTAACCAATCAATAAACATTTATTAATCACTAGGCACTCTGATAAGCATTGGGGATGCAAAAAGAGTCAAAAGATAGTCCCTACCCTCAAGGATCTTACCATCTAGAGGAAGATATCACACAAAAGGAAGCTGAAAGATTGGGACAGAAGGGACTCAATTGGAGATGGGAGCCTAGGAGAGATAATCTGGAGGAATGAAACATGGCTGGCCTGGGCCCTCTCCATGAATAAAAGTTCTGAGAGGGGCCATCCCGACAGATGGAGGGCCCAGAGGAACAGAGGATATTACAATGTGTGAGTTTCAGGGCACTACCTGAAGCTTGTTGCTAACCTTAAAGCATCAGTTGTTATCTCTTCCAAAGGTTAAGGATGTAGCGCAATTCACTAACAACTAAATTTATTGTCTGTGAATTTATTAAAGTCCTTCTTGAATGATTTTCAGCCTTTGTCAATCACTTATGATAGTACATTCTAAGCATTTCCTATTTGAGATCTAAAGTCACACTTCCTTTTTGTATTATTTTTTTCTCAAACTTCAAGACGGTGCCTCCTACTTCGGTTGTGCTGGGAATCGGGCCAATAAATCTGTGTTTGTCCTATTTGTTACCTTTGGTAATTTGGTCAACTTCTGTCATCTCCCACCTATTCTCTTTCATCCCTGACCCTTCATCTTTCTAGACTGAAGCATCCCAGATGTTTTGATCCATCATCACCTTCCTTCTCCTTGGTTTTCTTAGTTGATGATTGTTGGACCTTCTGTAGTAAACCTTTCTTGAAGGGTAGTGATCAGAGTTGTGTAAATGATGATCATTTACATGTGGCTGCCTATGTACTAAGGTAGGGTAAGTGTCATGCCGTCTAGCTCACAGATGTTGCCCAGCACTTTGGTTTCTCTGTTTACTTAAGTGATCATTTGGGTGTGTCCTCAGGGAAGATTCTAGGATGAGTCTAGATTCATTTCTTGTTTCATGATTCATGGGTCAAGACCACAGGTCTTATAAGGGTAGTTTCTAAGTCCAGATTTTGGAACACTTATCATGGATCCTTGAAGGAAGGAAGCATCTCGTATATATTTGTATTTACTAACTTTATGCTGCGCATTTTCATACATACTTCTCGTCCACTGCTATTAGACTGTAAATTCGTTTAGAGTAGGGATTGTTTCCTTCATTGTCCTTGTGACCTTAGCACCTAGAACTAGTATGTTCCCGGAACACAGTAGGTGTTTAATAAATACTTCTTGATGGATTGATAGAACATGGGTAGTGAGTAATGACATAAGACAACTCATAGTGTCATAAAATGTTAGAGCTGGTAGAGACTTTTCAAGTTGATGCAGTACAACTTCCTCGTTTTATTTTTGTTTAAATAGAGTGGTAAGTTTGTCATAAGCAGTAACATAAACAAAGAGAACATGGACTAAAACTTCCAATAGAATTCAGGAACCTCAATTATTTAGAAAGTGAGCTTACGGCAGAAAAATGTAATGTAATGTTTCCAACTTATTTTATCTGTTTCCCTTTCTTATCTCCCTTCTGTTTGTATATTTTTAAAGGGTTTTTTTTTGCTATTTTTACTGGCTTAAACTATCTCTATACACACTGTCCTAATTCTGCTATCTTTGCATTATTTTTTCATATTTCTTTGTATTCTTATTAATCTCTTTTAATGGAACAATGTTATTCCATTACGTTAATCTACCATAGCTTATTCCACTGCTCCTTAACCGTTGAGCGTAGAGGTTGTTTCCAGTTTATCACTATTCCAAGTGAGGCACCTATGAATATTTCCATGCAGATAGGTCTTCTCCCTGTCTCCTCCATTCTCCTTTAATGACATCCTTAGGATACAGCTCTGATAGTGGGGCTTTGGGGTCCAGCATTTCTGTGACTCCTGCCATAGGTTGTCATTTTGCTCTCCCAAAAGCTTGTACCCATGTTTTGTTCCACCAGCAAAGTAGTGTGAGCAGAATGCCTCTTTCCCCACCATCCCACCAGCATGGAATTCTACTCTTCTGGCCCATTTGATGAGTGAAAGGCCAACTCCCTCATTTTACAGATGAAGAAACCTCTATACATAAGTCAGTTGCAATCATTATCATATGAGAAAGCATTCAGGGAGGAGATTAGTCATCCTTTCTGGTGTCAGAAATAATCAGGACTTCCTGGAGGAAAAATGTAGGACTTCCATTATTTTTCTTAGTAATACCTCCCCACCCAATGGCCATTATTTAAAAAAAAAAAAAGAAAAAGTTTTGAATAAAGCAGATTCGGTAAGGACAAAGAGAATGTTGAGTTGTTTTTTTTTTTTTTTAAAGCGGGGGGAGGGATAGCAGGCTAGTGGTGATTTTTATCAATTCTGCTGAAAGTAGAAAATAGCATTTCATCATCTGTATCCGCTCACTTCACAAAGGCCTGGTATCTCAACAGCCAGTTAGCCGAGGGGAAAATGTCATCCCAGAGTGCAGGTCCTTGTCTCTCCTTAGCTCCCCGGTGGCTTTTTGCCAAAACCACTTGTCAGACTAAATAAAATCATTTGCCCTTTCTGAGATCACTTTGCAGGTAAACACCAGGAATACAGTCTGCAATCCGTGTTCCACCAGAACCGTTGGCCTTGTCTTTCCCATAAGGACTGATTAGCAACACATGAGCAGAGAGAGAGATTTAGAAACTCCCTCTTTGTGGTGGTAAAAGGCCTCTTTTCAGAATTGGTCGTACAGACAAGTTACAGACTTTCCAGGGCTCCGATCTGAGAGAGGCCCGTTTCCTCTGGTGGAATGTTGATGCGTGAGGTCATCCAGCAGATTAAAAGTAGGGGGAAAGGGGAGGGAGAGATAATTATGCAAAGACCACTTCCAAGAAGATGGACATACACTGGGGTGTTGGAGACCGAAGCACTACGAAGCCGAGATCAGCTCTCTATGACTTCAGTATTTCCTTTGTATTGCATTGAAGTCTGCATCCATGGTCACAGTTAAATAGCTCTTTGAGAAGATTCTTTTAGTCCAGCAGGGAAAACGGGCTAGTCTGCTTTGAATTAGCCTGCTTACAAAGTCATGAAAGGGACTTAGAAAAACAATAGCTCGTTGTGCGCTCCGGGAAGATTCTAACAAGTTACGTGAACCAGATAATGGGTCTATTGGCTGTCTCTGCGGGTTTTTGCCTGAGTCTGCACATCCACAGAACCAGCCCCATCCCCCTACGGGACCCAGAAGATCAAGCGGTGCCAGCCTGGGATGTGAAACAGCCTCTCACATTCACTGGTGCTAAATATAGCTGCCACCCTCTCCCTCCCACTCTGCCCCGACAACACTCTGCAATTATTCTCGGGAGGTTTTCTGTTACTACAAAAAAAAAAAAAAATTAAATAATTAAAAAAAAAGAATTTAGTTGAACTGGTGTGGGAAGACAAAAGAGAAAAAGAGGGGAGGAGGAAGAAAAAGAAGAATCTAATTAAATGGAAATTGGATCCTCAGGACCTGGGGAAAATGTAGATATTTTACCAAAAATAAATTAATTAAAAATGCAGTGTTAATTTAGGTCGGAGATGCTGCCAGCTCAGCAAGAGCCTATTTTGGGATTTGAGGTGAGGCGAATCACTGGAGCCAAACCTCTCTTGCTTGTTTAGAACTCGCTCACCTGGCAGATTTTCTGCTTGCATGAAGAGTGAGCTGTCTGTCCCTTAGCAGGCTGTATCTCCTCTGGCCATGGGCTGAGCATCCCTGATTGCAAGACCTTCTCTTGCATCTGCTTTTTCATGATAAGCCATAGACTGCTTTCTCACTCTTTCAGATGCTTCAAGCAAGTTCATATAAAGAAATTTGCTTGCATTCATATGAATTA